ATGAAGCCATCAATCCGAGGGAGCAGCGAGTGGCTTTCCCCAAAGCAGCTCATGTGCGCTGCTATCATCTTTCTGGGTTTAGAGAAGCCAACCTTCTAGTATCCCGGGTCAGCAAGATGATGGCATTATAGTCAGGTTCTCATGTAAATGAGAGGTTATGCCTCCGATACCACCTCTTAGGTCCAGACCCACTACACTCACCATCCATCCTGATGGGTAGAATGCCTGGGAAATTAGGACAAATGTATGTGGCCATATACCTCATTATGATCTCTCTCACTTCTGGGCCTTTGTGCATTCATCTTGAATGGCCCTCTCCTCTTTGCCTAGCAAATTCTGAGGCATCCTTTAAAGCCCAGTTCAGAAGTTATTTTATTCAATAATATTTGCCTAATGTAACTATGGTTTTGGCCCTACACAGTGCTGTACAGTGGCAGCTCACAGGGCTTAGTCTAGTGGAAGATTGCAACGAAACGTGGTGAATGTCAGCATAGTAAGCGTGACAGAGTGGAGTAGAGGCAGTAACAGAGCTGCTTTACCATGGAGGACAAGGCATGAGAGACATGGCCTTTCATGTGAGAACTGAGGCAATAAGTGGGAGTTAGCCAGATTAAGGCAGAAAGGGAAGGAACATTCTAGACTGAGGGAACATCCCACGTAAAGGCCCCAAGACATAATACTTCTTGATGTGCAGTTGATGTGGCTGATGCATTGTGAGCGAGGCAGGGATTGTGAGGCCGAGCAGGAATTTTAAGGCCAAGGTTAGATTTGGGATTTTATTTTAGGTACAGTAGGATGCCACTCAGGGGTAGTAAACAGGCAGATGATCTGGTTTACAATTTAAAAGGCTAGCTCTGTAGTGATCCAGGTGAGAGATTATGATGGAAAGATGGACTAGGTGCTGGCAGTGGAAGTGAAGAGAAGGGGGTACAAGATGCGATTTAAATTAGAGGCTGAGCACACAAGACTGTCAGATGTGCTGGAGGCAAAGAGAAGAGAGAGAGGTATCAGTAATTCCTCCTAGGTTTTTGGTTTGAGCATGTGGGCGAGTGATGCTTCTGTTTATTGATAACAAATGACCAAGGGAAAAATTGTGTGGGTTGAAGAGTCGAGAGTCCTGCTTCGAACAAGTTAAATTTGACATGAAAGAATTAGGCTAGAGATGGCAATTTGGCAGTCATCAGCATAAAGCAGATGTGGCAGTTTTCATACATGTCTGCAAATTCTTAGGCACTCCTCCCATTAAGAGGTGAGGCCTGTGCCCTTCTTCTTGAATCTGGGCCTGCTTTCGTGACTCTGCTGTATCCTATAGCAGCGGTTCCCAATCTTTTTGGCACCAGGGACCAGCGCTCCTATAAGAATCTAATGCCTGATGATCTGAGGTGGAGCTGAGGCGGTGATGCTGGCGCTGGGGAGCAGCTGCAAATACAGATGAAGTTTCGTTCATTCACCCACTGCTCACCTCCTGCTGTGCAGCCTGGTTCCTAACAGGCCACAGACCAGTACCACTCCTTGGCCCTGAGGGTTGGGGACCCCTGTCCTACAGAATGCAGCTTCTTCTCAAGTTAGGGTAGTAAACACAACTTGTACCTGGTCCTCTTGGAATGCTTGTTCTCCAGTGGCTCCTTCTGGAGCTTTCTTTCAGTACCCAGCTGCCATGATGTGAGAAGGTATAAGGAAAGGCCATGTGTAGATGTTCCAGGCAACAGTCCCAGTTGAGCCTGTCCTTCAACCATCACAGCTCAGCTGCCAGATGTGTGAGTGAAGGACCCCAATCCCTGGTCTGGCACATAGAACCTCCTTCATCTTCTCAGTGTAGGACCCAACACTTTCCCTGCTTAACAGGACTGGAGCAGGGCAACTAACCTGTCTGCATCTCCTCACAGAATCCCCTTTCACGTGGAGTTTGGCAGTAGATCCTCCATCCCCTATGTTCTTGTTAATTAATGCATCTCATCACACGAGACCCTGCCACACGAAGCTCAGGCCAAGGACATGGTGGGGGGAGTGAGGAGGTCACTACTAGACCTGAGAGTTTGGCCTCTGCATTATCAGGTTTAGCCTCCTAGCTGTTCTTAGTTGGTGTTTAATCAAATTCTTTGGAGACTGCCAACCCATCTGAGTTACGTGACGGGCAACCAAAGGATGGGGTTTGTTTTCCTGGGTTGGGCTAGTATGGGAGCCCCGGCATGTGGAGACATTCAGAGGTAGAGTGGAGCACCAGGCAGCTGCTGTAAAGGGTACTCTTGACTTGGCTCTGATCAGAACTCCGGTTTACTAATGGGGAAACTAAATCTCAGCTCAGGGGAAGGACTTGCCCTACATCACACAGCAACCGTGGTGGGATTGATCCCTGGCTAAAACCCAGGGGTTCATTTTTCTGAGTAAGTTTCAGACTCTAGGGGAACTCAGCAATGGAAGTGCTGATGGGAACAGCTTGAGCTTTCCTGTAGATTAGGTGAACAGTTTTCAGAAGCAAAGTGTTTTCAGGAGGTTCTCAAGGAAACAACACTTAAATACGGTATCAGGCAATTTTGCTAGGGAGGCACCCATGTGTGCCTCACGTGCTCTGGGGTAAGGAATAACCGAGAGGGGACTGTGGGGTTGCTGCAGCAGCAGGGCGCCTATCACATGACCACAAGCCTGGAACACGCACCGGGGTCAGAGTGGTTTTATTTCAGGGTTAGGCTAGTATGATTCGACATGCTCCCCCAAGGACATTTTCCCCATCCCTTACGAGTCAGGTGATTTCCTCAAGCAGATCTCATGAGATTACTTCTCCAGTTTTTCCTAACTCTGTAATAAATCAGGGTCATCATGCATTTCCCGACACATGTTTCAACCAACCAGACACTCACTCTGTCTCTGCCTGATAACTGTTACCTAAGAGAACTATTTCCTAAGGGCAATAGTAATCAATGGAAAGGAGAAAGCCTTTAGAATTGCAATGAAGATAGCTTTCTCTATTTCCTGGGAGTGGGGAATTTTGCAGAGGAAGCAATACAGGTGTTTCCTTCTCTGTCACACTGGGTAATAAGATCCCTGAGTTAAGCCATGGTTTCACATCGGTTCCATTTTGGATCACTGTAACAGGCCTCTCGATCTGGGTGTGCCTTTTTCTCCTGCATATTCCAGTGGTGTTAAAAAGCGGAAAGGTGGCACGCGAGTGGGGGCGAAAGCCAAGAACAGAGTACCTACCACCTGTGTCAGGCAGAGAGCAATCAAAACAATTTCTCCAACCCGAGTACAATTCCGAAAGAGTTTAATAAACAGCCACTAAACATTGCACCAAAGCATTTGGAAACACAATTTCTACAAAGAGGCAAAGGTCAGTCTTCCTTTCTAATTCCTTAGGAA